CCCCAGAGACATATTTATTTTAAAGAAATAAGTAGATTTAACTTGCAAGAATACTCTTTGGTAAGGGAGGATAAAACCTTGGTAACAAACAACTAGAATACATGCCCTAAGGGCACTAAATGTGATAGAAAATTTACAAATATAAGGCAAAAAAAGAGAGAGAAAACCTACAGATCTATTGGAAACTAAAGACGACCAGAAATTTGAGACTATTGGAAATCTGAATACTGACTGGACATATAATATTAAGCAATTAATAATTTATAGGGTATGAAAATAGTACTGTGGTTACATCTTTTTAAGAGTCCATTTTAAGAGATTATATATACTCAAGTATTTAATGGATTAAATTATATGAAATCTGTAATTTGCTTCAAAATAATATAGAAGGGTTATGAACAGGGTTACAGATGGAAACAAGACTGGCCATGGGTGATGATTATTCAAGCTGAATAGCATGTACATCAGGATTTATCATACTATTTTGTCTATTTTTGTCTATGTTTGAAATGTACCAAAATAAGAAATTAAAAAAACAGATGAACTTGAGTCAGGCTACAGTGTGCTTCTGACATTATTCCAAGGACTTTGGACATACATTCAAAGACAATAAAGAATCAGAGATTTGGCATTTGGGATTATTTTTAAAAAGTTAAGCCCCTGTGGTATTGTGTTGAACAGGCTGGAGACCAGAGAACTAGGGCAGAAATATCAAGAACTAGGATGGAGATACCAGAAAGAACCTATTGTACTAAGCTTGAACCAAGACTTCCTTGAACCAAGGAAATTTTACACGAACTAAGGTGAAAGCATTAGCCTGATGTCATCCAAGTTGGCCAGAGAGTGTGAAATAGGGGGAGCTGCGTGGAGATCTGGAAAAATAGGTATGAAGGACAGAAGAGGGTTAGAAAAAGATCATTTACAATAAAAATAAGGACTAATACTTAGTTTTTACCATATGCTAAGAATTGTTTAGGCCTTTATATATATGAACACCTTAATAGGTACTGTACATAATATATATGAGACATTTAAACATCATTTAAAATATTTTAAAATACAGGGGCGCCTGGGTGGCTCAGTCGTTAAGCGTCTGCCTTCAGCTCAGGTCGTGATCCCAGTGTCCTGGGATCGTGCCCCACATCGGGCTCCCTGCTCAGCGGGAAGCCTGCTTCTCTCTCTCCCTCTCCCACTCCCCCTGCTTGTGTTCCCTCTCTTGCTGTGTCTCTGTCAAAAAAATAAAATCTTTAAAAAAAAAGTCATGAAAAATATTTTAAAATACATATTTTATATATACAAGTAATACTTAACAAACATATTTTTGAAAATGTATATAATTTAACACATATTAGCATATATATAAACTCTTTGTGTGACAACAACCTCAGGTAGGTAAATGCAATTACTACCCCCCTTCTGAAGTACTTGTAGCAAGTAAATGATTTGCCCAAGGTGACAGGGCTGAACAAGAGGCTGGGATCCACATTTAGTCATTCTGGCTCCAAAATGTGTACTCCTAACTTTTGTACTATACTGTACTGCTTCTGGTTCACAGAACTTGACAGAAGTATTTTATGAAGGAAGGTGATACAATCATATTTCCTTTACGGTCAACTCAAATGCTTTAAATAAATAGCATGATAAATAAATAAATTTTTAAAAAATATATATTTTAGAAAGAGAGCGAGAGAGCAAGCACACAGCAGGAGGGGCAGAGAGGGAGGGAGAGAGAAAATCTCAAGCAGACTTCCTACTGAATGTGGAGCCCAACAATGGTGCTCTATCTCATGACCCTGAGCCGAAACCAAGAGTTGGATGCTTAACCACCTGCGCCGCCCATGCACCCCAATAAATAGCATAATATTTAAGAAGAACTTACTTAGCTGAAGAAACAATGAGTTGTGAATCTTTATATGCTATCAAGTAGCTTTGATTCTCTGGATTATGCACTGTTACCTAAAAAGGGAAAAATTCGAAATAACTGTGGCAATCCATAGCTTTCATTCATTCACATACAACATACATCCCTTGTACTATTAAAGACAAAGATATGGAAGAGTCAGCCCTTGTCATCTAAGGGAATAACCAACACGTTCCAGATTTAAAATACTAGAGCTATTCCTTTATTACAAAATTAAAACACTGTTATAATTGCTTGCTCGTAAGTAACATATTCCGCACTACATATTCACTGTTACGAATTACCAATCACTCTGAATGTCAGAAAAGAGCGGTCTCTAACTTATAAACTAATAAAGTCCTAAGTGGATTCATTTAGAATAAAAAAATGCTATCTGTTTAATCTAGTGCACCTGAAGCACTCTAAAAGCTAGAAAGAACAATTTCATCTGTTTCAGGAACTTCTCATTCACATTTCCCCAAAGAGGTTTCAAAAAGTACCTCACTAATCCAATCTGGTCAACAATCTACTCATTCTGAAATACACTGGCAACATAAATTGTAACCTACACTGAACTAGGTTAAAGAACAAATATACTCAGGGCATACACAGTTCAAGAGTATCCTTCTTCAAAGCCAATTACTACTATAAGCTGTGATTACAAACCACGTGACCCAAATAGCTAAATCAAGGAAATCCTTATTAATTAAAAAACAAAAACATGACAGCTCTTAACTGTCTCCACAAACAAGTAAATATATTTAAGAATTCCACGTTAATAAAAAAAAAAATAATAACTCCACGTTAAGGAAAGAACAATAACATTTTGAAATAAAAACAAACTTGACATGCAAGGTTTCCCAAAGAGTGACAATATACATATTCTTAAACTGGTTATTTAACTAGTTCATTAACATTGGCTGCTCAAAGAATGCATAACAATTTCAGTTTGGATTAACAAAAGTAAAATTTTGGGGATATTTAATATAAAATATCTGACAGTCTCTCACACACAGTCATAATTAAATAACTTTCCCAACATAGTTGTCCATACTTACACTTTCTAAAACTCGTAAACATCTCTCTGCTCCCCATAATGAGGCTACCAGTTTCTCTTCATCTTCATCTCTACTTAAATGATCCACACATTCTTTCACTAGGAGAAATGAAATGGATATAAAATTAGTAGGTCTCATCACCTCCATATTTATCCCCTTAACTAACATTAAAAGCCATGTGTACACACATGAGTATGCTGAACCTCTCTGAACATTATTTATTCTAAGTTTTATAAAACTCTGCGGTGTTGAAATATATGAGCCTCTCACTGTGATTATTTCCATAATTCCCCAATATCAAAGTGCTAATGGCCTTTCTTTTAAAAGTTCAAGATTTCCAAGATGCTACTAAAATAGATCTTTTTAAATTGATGCAATAATTTTTTAAAGTATGTACACAGAATATTTTCTTCAGGTTAAAAATAACACATAAAATATTGTCCGTGTTTATGTCATACCTTTATCTACAATATGATCCAGACCACCCAAAAGCCGGAGTTCTTCTTTAAACCAGTCTCCTGCTCGTTTAGAAGTAAGGGACAGCAAGGTCTCCATAGCTAAATGCCCAGTCTAAAAATGAGAGGCACCATTAATAAATATTGACTCTTAGCAATAATTCTGAGGCAACACTTCTAGAGACTGTTTTCTAGAAAAGTTCACTGCATGCTACCAGCCCATAGTATTCTTTATAATACAGTAGGTGCTTTTATAAACAAAACTGAACTAATTTTTAGTCTAAGTTGAAGAAACAGTTTTCACCACCGGCTTGTTTTCACAGAGAAAATCCCTTATTAAAAGTGGCCTATCATTTGTCAAGTCAATAAAATAAATGGTGCTTTGGTGGTACTGTTATTTCTTTGATACAGAGGCACAAAGAAAGGACTGTTGAATCAAAGTGCATATATATGAACTATAAATCACTATACTGGATTAACTGACCACAAAGGCTGAAACACTTAACTCCAGGAGCAAAGTATGGGTATGTCAGTGGCCCCGAATTCTTAAAAGCACTAGTTATCACTTTACATTTTTGCCAAAGGGTAAAAAAAAGATACCTTATTGCTTTGGTTTGAATTTTTCTAACTATAGTAAACTTGTACATTTTTGCACATATTTATAAGCTAACTGTATTTCTCTAAAAGCGAGTTCCCTGTCAATTATTCTTTATTTTCCTTGCAAAGTTCCTTGTTTTTTCCTTATTATTCTGTATATTTTCTTACCTATTCTGAATAAAAACCCTGTTACTTTTAGGGTTTCAGATTCACCAGTATTGAACTTTATATGCAAGGCTGGCAACTTGGGATCCACAGCATGGGACTCTCATGACAAAATTATATGTAAATAATGACTGAGGACTACCACCACTAGAGAAAGCACAGAGCAGTGAGGGTCATAGGTACAACTGGACTAGAGTTTTTCTTTCTCTTGATTTGCCTTTATTATTTTTCTTTCTTACTGTGTTTCCTTTTAAAAGCACACGGACACCCTCCAACAAAGAACAATCTGGTTCCTGTTGCAATAAGGAACATCAGCATAACAAAATTAGCAAAGCTGGTAAGACCTGGTTTTCTTTCCAAAGCTTTTTTCCTTTCAAAGATAAAAGTTTACATTAAGTCCTCCTGGCCTATTTAGAACTGAAGATGGATTAGATACTGAGAAGTGGAAAAAACAGAGTTTACTAGCAAAAATCTTATAGTATTACAGATTTAGAAGAGATCTAGACTATTTTTGTCTATTCCTTAAAAAAAAAAAAAAAAAAAAGTTGATGTCCAAGCTGGACAAATAAAGAACTAGAAATCATCACTACAGAAAGATTCCATTTTGCCCAATTCTTATTCTAAGTCCCTGAAAAAGTAATTTAATGAGATCAACTCAGGTATATTAGTTCAAGACTCACAGTAGTAATAAAGCTGAAGCCTAATGAAGCTTTCCTTGTTAAAGAAGAAAGGGGATAGTAATTTGATGTTAATATAGCAAAAATTCTTAAGTTTGTATGCTAAAAAGGGACTTTAATTTCTCTTATTGGCATAAAAAGGATTGTCTGATGTTTTAGGCTATATTCATAAAGCCTACTCACATAAGCTAGCAATTAAAAATAGCCTACAATTCAAACATTTTATATGAAAAGTGGAATAGTCCTCAAAGAGTTAAAGCGCAAATCATTAATCAGAATACTAATGAGCAACTGTTAGCTCTCAGTTACATGAATTATATATGAAAACACTATAATATTTTAAATTATCTTCCCATAGCACATCAGGAATAGCAATGTATTTCAAGGAAGAAGTTAAGTAATTAATAAAAACCCAAAACTAATGTGTAGTGGGACAATCACTTTACAAAACAATGTCTAAGATTTAAAACAAATATAATATTCAAGACTAGCTGAACTTGGGAGGAAGAAGAGGCATCCCAAAATTAGCAACTGTGTTCTGGTTTTAATCATGTAAGTAAATTACTTAACACGACTTAAGAAAGTTACTACACTGTTATTTACCATCCTAATAAATTTAACAGACCATGGAGAAAATTCAATGAACAAGTATATCATGTTATTTAATAGCAAATGCCTGGAAAGAATCTATAAATGTTGAACAACATGGGAAACCCCTGCAGAAAAGATATATTTATTCAATGATGCAGCAAATAAAAATTATCTCAAATTTATTCTTTCATATCATTAAAAAATCTGTATATGCTGCAAAAGTGTTAAAAAAAAATAAAAATTACAAATATATTTTAAACATAGTATACAAATAGTCTGGTGAGGTACAGGGATCTTTATCCACCACCTGAGCATACCAGCTATTTTTCCAACTTTAATAAGTACTGAATACATTCAATTCTGTATCTTGCCTTTTAATGTTAACCTGCTTTCCCCTGAAGCCCCACTTTACACAAATATCCTATTCTACCTTAATTAAACAGAGCAATACCCCTAAGTCATAGTTGGCCAGCACAAAGCATTCTGTAATTTTTGAGGCAAATGCTGTAGTCTTCAGTTTAGTAGGCAGTAGAAACGTTTATACAGTTTTGATGTTGAAAATATCTGAAAGTCAGATTATATATAAACAATCGTATTTTTTCAAAGTGACAAGGCCAATTAATTATCTTCTACTGGCCTAGTAACCCGGTAGGGATATTACTGATTCTTTAAGTAAAAAAGCCAAAGGAAAGGGAAACTGGAATCAACCAGAAGCAACACAGTCATCTAAAACTTCAGGAGTTGTGCTGAACCTCAGAGTTACTACTGGCCATGACCCCAATATTACGACGGCCATTGCTCCAAGGAAGGCAAGTGCCTAGGAAACTTGAGTCTTGGGCCCTTGAAGAGTTAATCAGACACCCTGAGATACTCTAGAGTAAGTGAATACTCATTTAAATGGCCCTCGCAAATCCTCTAAATCTTTATTCCTGAAACCCACAGAGAATAACAATTCAAATTCCTAATAGCCTAAATATAGTTAATACACACACACACCCCCCACAAGAAAAAAGGACAGACAAAATGCAATAGAAAATTTACTAGCAAAAAATCTAAATACAGATGGACTAGTCTAGGAATTTCAGGCAGGGAACAGAATTATGCTCAGTGCTGAACCTTAGAAGAACCTGCCCAATTGTTGACCAAGAGGTTAAATGATTTCTCCAAAGTCACACACCTGCTGTGACTAATGTAAAACTTTCTGAAATTAATTTTCATTTTACACTGGAAGGAAGGAACCTACCGTTATATTTTCTAGATCAAGATGCTTGTTGTGTACAGTTTCACAGAGCCTTCGAATTTTTTCTTTGATTTTGTTCATGTCTTTTTCATTCAGTAGCTTAGCTGAAGAAGCATCTTGTTCCAGTTCTAAAAGTCGAATCATTAGATCTAGGCTAGCTCTATCAAGATCCATGTTCAAACGATCTCTACTCAGTATGTACATGAGGGCAGCTGTACAAAGGGACAGATTCTTCAAAAGACAAAAATAAAAGTTAATGTGAGCAACTGGTGACAATTCCAGTTAATAAGACTGTTTTGACATTTGTTCACATGTTGGAAGCCTTGATGTTTTATTCAGTGAAAACTGCCCCCCTTCGAATACTCTAGGAAAATATGCATTAAATAAAGCTCTGTTACTTAAAATTTTTCCTTTCTAGAGATGTTCCCCATATCAATGCTCCCAACCTATATGAATGTGAGCAGAATTATATATTTCTTTAGCTATTCTGTGCTAAGAGTTTAAAGAACATTTTTTCCAGCTATGCATATACACACACATATATATAAAATCGTATTTTACACTAAACTTCACTTTATTCTTGGGTGCCTGGGTGGCTCAGTCGTTAAGCATCTGCCTTCGGCTCAGGTCATGATCCCAGGGTCCTGGGATCGAGCCCCACATCGGGCTCCCTGCTCTGCGGGAGGTCTGCTTCTCCCTCTCCCACTCCCCCTGCTTGTGTTCCCTCTCTCGCTGTGTCTCTGTCAAATAAATAAATAAAATCTTTAAAATTTTTTTTAAATCTTCACTTTATTATTTATGATAGTTGATAAAAGTTGAATTTCAATTTAAATCAATAATGTAAATGTGTCTTAAAATCTGCATCAAACACAGCTATTTTTTTCTATAAAATAAACACAGCTGAGTTTGTGTCAAAAATATAAAGCTGGGATGCTCAAATAAACATTTAGATTCATTTCCTTAAAATAATCAATCAGGTCTGATTGAACCAATTTTTAAAAAACCATTAATACAATGTGCTCTTAAAATCATTTAGATGGGGCGCCTGAGTGGCTCCGTTGGTTAAGCGTCTGATCCCACGTTCCTAGGATGGAGTCCCACATCGGGCTCCCTGCTCAATGGGAAGTCTTGCTTCTCCCTCTACTCTTCCCTGCCCCTGCTCGTATCTCTCTCGCTCAAATAAATAAACCTTAAAAAAAAAAAAAACACAAAGATAAGATAGTTAGCATACTCCGCTTACAGTACTAAAATCCAGAGTACTGAGGTGATATATTTTAGGTAAGCATTATATAACAAAATGGTCTATGTTGGGATAATCCATTTGGAATATTTTGTACTTAACACACTTCAATGCACAGAAATATAAATAACATCTAAAGTTTTTTTTTTTTTTTTACAAGATTTATTTATTTGAGAGAGAAAGAGAGAGAGAACTAGCGGGAGGGGGAGAAGGAGAAAGAATCTCAAGTGGACTCCGCGCTGAATGCAGAGCAAAAACCAAGAGTTGGATGGTTAATTGACTGTACCACCCAGGTGCCCTTAAAGATTTAAACTCTGAATCCCCCAACGTAGAAAAATTTTAGACTACATGCCTAATTAAATGCTTACAAAGCAAACTGTTTTTGGAAATTAGGATGTGACAGTACAGACCTTGGGAGATCCACCACCCCCAAGAGCACACACTAATGTCTTGGTCCTCTGATAACTGTGTAACAAAGCATATTAATTCTTAAGTCTCTTCTCTTCCCCCTCCTTGTCCTGTATCTGATATGACTTGGCAATGGAATTATCCTCACTCAGGGTTAAGTACACTGCTTTCAGTTTCATAAGATTCACTATTAGGAGTGCCTGGATATCTCAGTTGGTTAAGCATCTGCCTTCAGCTCGGGTCATGATCCCGGAGTCCTAGGATCGAGCCCCACATCGGGCTGCCTGCTCAGTGGGGAGTCTGCTTCTCCCTCTTGCCCCTCACCCCACTCATGCTCTCTCTCAAATAAGTTAAAAAAAAAAAAATGTTAAAAAAAAAAAGATTCAGTATTAGACTGTGTCACCTAATCTGCATTTGGAACATAATTTCCTTGAACAAAAATATAATAGTCACCTGAAAATACCACTATTGATAATGGTTAGTAACGACTTTTTTTCTAACCTCAAAAATGTTAAACCTTTTATTACAGATAAAAGATTTTTAAAAGATTAGCGTCAGTCATAATGAAAATGAGAATTTCTTTCTTTTCACAATGGCTAGAACTAGATTCATTATCCAAACAAAATGTTAAAAAAAAAAATCTTAATTTCAAACTGTTTTTCTCATGCTATTAATATCAAAGAGTAAAAAACGTTTTGTTTTGTTTTGTTTGTTTGTTTTTTAAGATTTTATTTATTTGAGAGAGAGAATGAGATAGAGCGAGCATGAGAGGGGGGAGGGTCAGAGGGAGAAGCAGACTCCCTGCTGAGCAGGGAGCCCAATGCGGGACTCGATCCCAGGACTCCAGGATCATGACCTGAGCCGAAGGCAGTCACTTAACCAACTGAGCCACCCAGGCGCCCCTGTTTTTTTAAAAGTAGGCTCCATGCCCAGCATGGAGCTCAACTTGGGGCTTGAACTCACAACCCTGCAATCAAGACCTGAGCTGAGATCAAGAGTCAGTTACTTAACCAACTGAGCACCCAGATACCCCTAAAAGATTTTTTTCAGCACTTTATGATTAGAAGAAATCAATGCTCACATAATTAAACATCCAGTATGGTATGGTATGTTAGGTGTGGAGCTGATGTTTTATTTATTTATTTTTTCTTTCCTGTAAAAGATTTTATTGATGGTATATGCATAAAAAATTGGGGGGGGAAAAATACAGAAGAAATTACTGCCTTTTATTAAATGTACACTGAGGTGTTCATTATATACCTTTCTATACTATTTTGCTTTCAAACTGTTTTTATTTTGTTTTTTTAATTTAATTTTGTTAGTTACCATACATTACATCATTAGTTTTTTGATATAGCGCTCCATGATTCATTGTGTATAACACCCAGTGCTACATGCAATATGTGCCCTCCTTAATACCCATCACCGGGCTAACCCATCCCCCCACCCCCCACCCCTCTAAAACCCTCAGTTTTCTCAGAGTCCATAGTCTCTCATGGTTCATCTCCCCCTCCGATTTCCCCCCCTTCATTTTTCCTGGAGCTGATGTTTTAATACTATAAACTGACAATAATATTAAGAGAAAAAAGTGTCATGAGAAAATAACCTTAAATAATATATTAAGCAAAAACTTCTGATATTAACCTCTCTATATATAGAAAATAAAATTCAACCCATAATTGGAAAATACTCATATATAAATATCCAATGTAGATAAATCTTTTTTTTTTTTTTAAAGATTTTATTTATTTGACAGAGACACAGCGAGAGAGGGAACAGAAGCAGGGGGAGTGGGAGAGGGAGAAGGAAAGCAGGCTTCCCGCTGAGCAGGGAGCCCGATGCAGGGCTGGATCCCAGGATCCTGGGATCATGACCTGAGCCGAAGGCAGATGCTTAATGACTGAGCCACCCAGGCACCCCTAGATAAATCTTTTTAAAAAGATTTATTTATTTGAGAGAGAGCACAAGCATGTGAAGGGGGGGTGGGAAAGAACCTCAAGCAAACACTCTGCTGAGTGCAAGCCCCACGTGGGGCTGGATCCCACGACCCTAAGATCATGATCTGAGCTGAAATCAAGAGTCAGGCACTTAACCGACTGAGTCACCCAGGTGCCCCCAAATAGACTGTTAATTTTTAAATAATGTTCCTAATCCCAGAAATTTAAGAATACCTGATGGTGCTGGGAATCATCCAAGGTTTTAAAGACCATTGCTACCATTCCGTGTGCTCTCAGGTGCATTCGAAAACTGGGCATGGCACATTTAGTAGCCAAGCTAATAACACTAGGAGAAAATAGACTAGGTTAGGGGGGATTGAAAATAGCTTGTGCATTAGTTTTTTGTTTGCACAATACCAAAACAAGGAAATGGGGAGGGGTGGGAGGGTGTCAACCCACTGCCCATATGGATCACAATATAAAACACATGGGCAAACCGAATTATTAAAAATACATTGATGCATATTGATTAGTATAAATATTAATAACACACGATCATCTTTGGTGTATTCCTTACACTACTACTATGATTAAAAGCAAAAAGTCTCAGCTACCTTTCATAATGCTTCTGATACATGAAGACTACAGATAATATTTGATTGGATATATTCCAAATGACTGGATAATTCAATCAAATTAAGATAATTCAATCCACTATAGCATGCAAAAGATGATCCAAATCAAAACATGCTTAAAACAAAAATGTATCACTTGTCTGAAATTTGGGTCTGAAAAAGAACTTAAAAGATTTGTTAGTATAATACTTCTTTTAAGCATCTGTAAAGTGAAGCCTATACTATTCTAACAAGCTACAATCATCCAACTTTCCTTTGTTAATGTAGAATCAAATCCCTTATAATAAATCAACCATATTTTAACTTATTTACACTGGCTATAAACTATATTCATGATAACAAAATCAAGGTAAGAAAATGTTTGGCTCTATTTGGCTGGAAAATTTTAGTAAGATAGAGCATGCATACATTTATCAAATATAAAAATAAGATCTCACCTAAGGCAACGTGTGTTTAGAGGCTGAGTGCTCTTTAAGCCACTTAGCAGGTATTCAATGTCATCAGTGAACTCTTGATTTTCACCAAATTCCACCACATCATTGAAGTGCTTCACATGCTGAACAACAGTATACAACTGCCAAGAAAAAATAAGTCCACTTCTTTTGTAACCATGAACTAGCATATTTAAATCTACGGGCTTGCTGTACTTCATTCAGAAGTGTATAAAAGAGTTCATTATATTGCAACTAGAAGAAAAGTTTTAAAAACACTGGTAGTACTAGGAAAGGTAAGTTCGTGGATATCTGTTCAAGACATTAAAAGGCTAAATGTTACATACAAAAATCTATCCACGTGCAGTAAAACTGTATATGGCTGCTTACTTCTTTGTCTTCTTTTCTGCATTTCAGTGCAGTAACTATATCTTGGTAGGGCTGAGTAGGTATTGTCACAGTTTTTATCACTTTGGGTGGTGGTGCAGGAGCCTTAAAAACTCCATCATCTTTTTGATTTGGTTCCTTTGAAGACAGCCTCACCTATTAATAAAGGATTAAATTATTGTTCTAAATAAATATATAAAAATAGTAACAGCTCATCTACCTAGCAAATTTGGCTTAAAAAAAAAAAAAGGTGTGAAGAGGCCTCTGAAAGGGCTACTTTAAAATTCTATGCACTACTAGGTAAGACTCACAAAAGAACCACTCAGGAATTCCTTCTGGTCTTTTTTAACCTCACATTCCACACACAATTTGTTATTTGTCTCCAAGATCATTAGAAGGAATAAAGAACCACAATTACACACATAAATAGCATTGATAAAAAGCTAGAACAGGACAAGAAAACCACACAGACAAGAGAACTTTTAAAGAATCTGTAATTTAGGGTATAAATAAATAGCCATAACAAAAGTCTGGTATATAATTACTAATACACACAATGATGATCTTATACTAGTAAATGGAGTTTAATATATTCAACTTAATTAAGAACACAGGGAACTGTACATTAAAATATTTTAGAAAGATCTCTATCCCTAATTTTTTTGTTGTTATAAAGAATTCATTCCTTGACAGCGCCAGATGACTGAGGTGTTACCATTAACTTAGAAGGATTAATCTATGGTCCTCCCAGTTATTCTGAAGAAAATAATTTGATAATCTTTTTCAAATGTGTTTTGAATTGAAAGCTATTACTGGAATACAGGAAAAAGTTCTCTGAATTAATTACTCAAATTAATTTCAAATTAACCACTCAAAGCTACTCTAAGATCTATGTAGGATATAATTTATAATATAGCTCTTAATACAAACTTCAAATATGAAATATTTTACCCTTAAAAGACTAAGTACAATAATTCCATTAAGATGTGGGTCAGGAGTAAAAAGTGATCCAATATTTTTTAAGGCTTTTATCTATAAACTAGTAGAGCACCAGAATTTCGATAATCCTGTCCACAATCCTCACTTTTCCAATGAATTAAACTAAAGCCTCTCATTTTAGTGAGGAAGACCAAAATAAACTGTTAAAGATTTTCAAATTCTGAATAAAGATAGCAATGGCTTAAACAAAAATGAAATTAAAAAGTACAGTTCACTTACTGTGGCACTCTGAGGTTTTACTACTGGTGGCCCAGGTAGCTCTTCTGAGTCTGGATGGTTCCAATGTCTGGCATTATATACAGCTTTTGTAGGAGACTAAAGAAATGAGAAAAAGATCAACTGTTTCCTTCTCATTTTCCATCCTTATAAAATTGTCTCATTTAATAAAATAAAAATCACAAAGAATAACTTAAATACATAAACACGTGTCCTAGACAGAGCAGGAGAGAGAACACCTGGCTAGTATTCCCACTGTGCTCCCATGCCTGTGGAGTCACCATGGTATTCTGCCACAGAATCAAAAATTAGTGCTCTGGGCAACTATTACCAATCTGTACTAACTTAGTAATCAATACAGTTAATTCAACATATACTTTATTCCTCATACTACTGATTCAAGCTGCATATTCTTCCAACAATGGAAATAAGGCAGCTTATGAAAAGCAATAAAGGGTCATATATATTCATTTTTAAGTGAAACTGTTGGGGCCAGATGACTACCATTACTAAGAAATTTTCAAAGTTTTTTAAAAAGTAGTTATGGAATATATACCATATATTACACAACACAGGGGAATTTAAAGCAGTACTATGTAATAACATATATGATTTCTGCAGCAAAATGTATTCATATTCACATGAACTGGGATAAAGATGTAAACTGCTCCACCTCAGTCAGGTCAGTCTGCTGACAAATCAACTTAATATAAATGTAATAAAAATAATTTTCAGTTTTGGGTGCCTGGGTGGCTCAGTCCGTTAAGCGTCTGCCTTCAGCTCAGGTCATGATCCCAGAGTCCTGAGATGGAGTCCCACGTTGGGCTCCCTGATCTCCCTCTCCCTCAGCTTCTCCCTCTCTTTCCCGCTTGTTCTAATAAATAAATAAAAATATTTTTTAAAAAGATTTATTTATTGGGGTGCCTGGGTGGCTCAGTCGTTAAGCGGCTGCCTTCGGCTCAGGTCATGATCCCAGGGTCCTGGGATCGAGCCCCATATCGGGCTCCCTGCTCCGCGGGAAGGCTGCTTCTCCCTCTCTCACTCCCCCTGCTTGTGTTCCCTCTCTGGCTGTGTCTCTTGTCAAATAAATAAAATCTTTAAAAAAAAATCTGTATAAACACAAAAACCCTTTCTTTTTTTAAAAGATTTTCTTTTTCTTTTTAATTTGACAGAGAGAGAGGGAGAGAGAGAGAGCACACAAGCAGGGGGACTGAAAGGCAGAGCAGAGGCAGAGGGAGAAGTAGGCAGAGGCAGAGGGACTTGATCCCAGGACCCTGGGATCATGAGCTGAGCTGAAGGCAGTCGCTTAACCAACTGAGCCACCCAGGCACCCCCAAAAACCTTCACTTTTTTTTTTTTAAAAGATTTTATTTATTTATTCGACAGAGAGAGAGAGAGAGCACAA